GCCGCTCCCCAGTATGACTCCAGCGAAGAGTTTGTGCCAATCCTGAAGGACGATCGTGTTCATGAGGAGGATGGAACTTTCAACTTCGACTTCGAAGCTGCCAACGGCATCCGCGTGTCCCAGGCTGGATCCCCCGACGGTGATGAGGACGCTGTCATCAAGGCCGGAGAATACTCGTGAGTATCTGACGATGTATTTCCTTTTCTCAATTAACCTGTTACAGTCAATCAAACCCATGACGTTTTACGTATTATGTTTTAACTTGCTCAAAAGTTTTTAAGCGTCTCAGGATATATAATTACCCAATGAATGATTACACTCCCCAAATAGGCATAGCCCGGGCGAGGCTCTGCTTCGCGAATCTTAAAAAAAAAAAAAAAAAAAAAAATGATTATTCCTAAAGGCTTGACCCTCATATATATACAGGTACACTGCTCCTGATGGCACTCCCGTTGTCGTCAAGTACGTTGCTGACGAGAACGGCTTCCAGCCCCAGTCCGACCTCCTGCCCGTGGCCCCCGAGTTCCCCCACCCGATCCCTCAGTTCGTCCTCGACCAGATCGCAAAGGCCGCCGAGGAGGACCGCAACCGCTCCGATTCTGATGAACGTTACAATTAGACAAACTACTCAAACAAACTACTGTCTATTTATTGTATAATGTTGTTAATAGACTATGTACATATTTAAACTTATTTTTACTACCTCCTACCACGGTGCTGAGCATTTTTTCCATCCAAAATGCACTATTTTAACATTAAGAGTTATACGATGAATAATTGGCGGATTCACGGTTTGCTGCTATGTACACACACACATTTATATATACAGTATACATATAACTATACCCTTCACTAAAAGGCTCAATACCGTAGTATCTAGTCATGATTTTTGGTCATACAGAAGTGGAATTAGGATATATTACTCTGAAAATGCATTTTAATTCGTTTCATTACACAATACACACATGATTTAGCGCAGCTCACCCAGTGTACTTAAATCAAATATTAAAGGCCATGTGCTAACGATCATTTAAAAACGATTCAGCAAACACACTTCTTAATTGGCAACATTACTTACACTGCAGTTTTTCTTCCTTTTTTTGTTTTTGTAATGGAGAAGACTTTAGAAGAAAAACTTATTTTTCTCATGTTCATATATTTTGCGGATGATAGTGATAATCATAATTAGGACGATAAAAATAGTTACGAAGGTAACAATAAAAATAATCATCGTCTTAACAATAAAAAATAATGATTATGAAAATTATAGTAGTAGTAATAGTCTAGGTGATAACAGTAACAATAGTGATAATAGTATTATACAGTATAAACTATATATCCAAACATTCACAAAAATTATATATTTTTAAAGTAATAATAGGAATAATAATGATGACAATAACATTAACACCAACAAGAATTATAATAACAATAATTAAAATTTATATTGACAATTATAATAATGAAAATTAAGATAATGATAACGACGGCAGAGAGAGAGAGACAGTCAGACAGAGAGAGAGATTTCTATCCATCTCAGCATGTGTCAATCTACATTGAAACAATAGCTTCATTTAGGCAATATTAATCTCGATGCCCGATAATGACCACTTTAGACTACGTCTACTCCTGCCGCTCGCCCGTAGCAGAGTGCGTATTCGCGAAACGTCACGAGGTTTGTAACAATAGTAATAACAAAACGAAAGATGTTGCTTACAAGGATGATAATGTGCTAGCGTCGTTGATAACCCCCCCCCCCCCCCAAGAAAAAAAATCTAGTACTAATGAAAATAATTCGATCTCTGTGCCCTTCCTTTATTTACCCCAAAATCCAAAATTGACATGCATTTATTTCCATCGTGAGATCCCTCTTATAAGTGTCATTTTTCGTCTAGCAAGTTACATGTTTCTCATTTTTGTTATTTCAAAAGGAGCACCGAAATGACGAAAAGAACACCCAGAAGTTCGGCATAAGCGAAAGAGATGAAACAATGCCATGCTAATGAATCACGTGAAAACTAAGGTCTAAATTTATTCAGACCTTGATGAAAACTTTAATTAGATGTTCAGTGATGATGTATAAATTCGACATACGCCAGATCTCGGAATTGGCCTTGACACTACTCACTTATACCAATCACTCTTCTAAGACTACTCTATACGGCGTTACCGTATCCATATGAATTCCAAAATCAAGGTAATTACAACTAAGATGTGGCAACCTTATCGAAAACAACAGGTATGTTAATCCTGATGATAACGATGATAGGGTAATAGAAACAACAGCAACATATATAGTAATAATATTACGGCAACCTTAACCATACCCGATAGCGTTGTGCTGTTGCTGCAATAGTGTACCATGTTACAATAGGTCTTTACATCCTCACACATGCATCAAGCTGATGATGCGAAAGGGTCAAGGTCGTTAGAGCCACGCCTGCAATAGGTCGCTAAGGTCAAGAGGGAACCTGTGCTATATAAAGACGTGTTCTGTTGGTCGAGCTATCAGTGTGATCCTTACAGCAGCAACATGAAGTTTGTGAGTGTTTACTGGATTGTCCTCAATGACTTTTAAATGCCGTAAAAGATATTAAGATATTATATTTCTTTCATGTAATGAACAAATTTCTTTAGAATAATCAACAAAGGATTGACAAATATATTTATATGTTTCGTAGGTCATTCTCGCATGTGTGGCCGCCGTGGCTTTTGCCGCTCCCCAGTATGACTCCAGCGAAGAGTTTGTGCCAATCCTGAAGGACGATCGTATTCATGAGGATGATGGAACTTTCAACTTCGACTTCGAAGCTGCCAACGGCATCCGCGTGTCCCAGGCTGGATCTCCCGACGGTGATGAGGACGCTGTAGTCAAGGCCGGAGAATACTCGTGAGTATTTCATGATGCACTTCTTTACTTCTTTCTTTAATAGGCTGTCAGGTTCATTCGAACCGTTAACATACATATTGCGTTTAAGGTTACTTAATCAAAGATTTTAAAGACTCACAAAATATATAATCCCCCTACGTATAGTTAATTCTAAAGCGACAGCTTCTAAATAATAATAATGATAATGATTAAATAACACTCGACCTCAAATATTCACAGGTACACTGCTCCTGATGGCACTCCCATTGTCGTCAAGTATGTAGCTGACGAGAACGGCTTCCAACCCCAGGGTGCCCACCTGCCCGTGGCTCCCGAGTTCCCCCACCCGATCCCTCAGTTCGTCCTCGACCAGATCGCAAAGGCCGCCGAGGAGGACCGCAACCGCTCCGATTCTGATGAACGTTACAATTAGACAGCTACTCATGAAACCTTATGTATTTATTGTATATTATTAATAGACTATATACATAACGTATATATATTTTTGTTACCCCCAACCACGGTACTGAAATGAACAAAATTAATTTAATCGTCTGTACACACTGTTTTGATATAATCAAGGAATTAGCAGTTTTAGCAAATTCAGTGTCCCATAGAATATGACTTATCAGAAGCATAACGGAATGCGTTTACTATAGATCATTTCGTCAGCTAAAACACCTCTTGCATTGTGAATATATTCATTCTCATTCAATATTTTTTCTACGTTTGCCAATATGAATACCGTTCAGATAATACACATCTTTTCTGGCAATATGATCTGGACTGCTCCCTTAGATCTTTCGGGATTAACCCATTCGCCACATATGGCAAGAATAGATGCCATACCCACTTTGAAACACGTTTATTTATTGTATTTACACATAGATGGCTCCACAAGTTTTTTATCACCAGATAGCCAGTTATCAAGAACTACCTATTTCACCTGTTTACCCTTTTCCTTCACTTTAGGAAAAAAAATTTTTGTATCATTCCATTGTCAAAAATATTCTAATGACAATTCAATAAGCATAACATCAATAACAATAATAGTATCGAAAGCAATGGTATTAGTTTTCCCGCCAGTTCAATGAATGGGAAAATCAGGGTCGGTAACTAGGGCCTACTGATAGACTCCTTGATAGACTCCTATTCAAGACACACAAGCCATACTAGTGCTAAAGTTTACAAGAATGGTAATGATAATTGTTAACGACAGTGGCAGAGCCAGAAATTATGTGGAATATCTGATAATTATTGGGGGATTTAATGTAAGAAGTATTAATGAAATTGACATAATTACTAATACTACTACTGTTACCATCAATGGTAAGAGTGTTTATGTAATATAAAAAACAATGCTAATATTGATAATGATTAACTCGACCTCTGGCTGTGTGTCCCTCTTTACCACAAGATAAAAATTAACGTGGCTTCGTTTGTAGTCAGGCGGTCCTACTGAGGCGCCATTTTTTGTTTGAATTTATTGTTAATAACGCGCGACGCAGTGGCAGATTACACAATTACAATTCGTGTCCCAATATTTATGCCTAAGAGTAATCTCTATAAATTCAAGAGAAGCACTTGAATGGTGAAATAGTATACTAATAATACACTCGAAAACGCCGCTTAAAAGGTCAATATATGCAAAGAAAGTGATGAGTAAATTGTACATATGCCGAATCCCAGATTTGGCACAGAGATTGCACATTCATGCCACTTACTTTCGTAAGAGAGATCCACTATACGCAACATACAGTATGCTTTATATTGCCCTGTCTGTTGGCAAACACCGATTACTCAATCGTACAGGATCATCTGTGTTATAATCAACTCTTTCAACATCGGAATCTGTTCGGGTCATGTGTCAGGCAACCAACAGCTCTAAGCGTGTTTGGTGTATAAGGAAAATTATATTCAAACCATCAGTGTAATCGTATTGTTGGCAAAAAAAGAAAAAAAAAAGAAAAAAGAAAAAGAAAAACGCCATTGAAAATAACCACAACAAAAACAACAAGAATGATAATATTAATGTGAGCTGCGGTACTATTGTCCTCTGATGGCAAGATATCAGCAGCATTTGCCAACATACATCAAGTATATTGCGCGAAAGGGTCAAGGTCGGTAACGTTAGGGCCACGCCTGCAATAGCAGTGATAAGGTCAGGAGGGGAACCTGTACTATATAAAGTCGTGTTCCTCTGTCGAATCATCAGTGTGATCCTTACAGCAGCAAAATGAAGTTTGTGAGTGTGTACTGAATCGTCTTTAAAGAAATTGGAATACCCTTATTGTTCATCTGAAATGAAAACATTCTTTAAGTATGATGAACTATAAATTGATAAAAATATATGTACTTCCCGTAGGTAATCATCGCTTGCGTAGCCGCCTTGGCTTTTGCCGCTCCCCAATATGACTCCAGCGAAGAGTTCGTGCCAATCCTGAAGGACGATCGTGTTCATGAGGAGGATGGCACTTTCAACTTCGACTTCGAAGCTGCCAACGGCATCCGCGTGTCCCAGGCTGGATCCCCCGACGGTGATGAGGACGCTGTGGTCAAGGCCGGAGAATACTCGTGAGTATCTGATGTATTTCTTTTTCTCAATTAACCTATCGCAGTTATTAAACCAGTCTAACCGAGTAATACGTAATTTAAGAGTCTCACTATATGTAACATCACAGTGCATTTGTCCAAAGGAGTTGTCTTCTCAGAATCCCATGCACACCTTAATATTTTTACAGGTACACTGCTCCTGATGGTACCCCCGTTGTCGTCAAGTACGTTGCTGACGAGAACGGCTTCCAGCCCCAGTCCGACCTCCTACCCGTGGCCCCCGAGTTCCCCCACCCGATCCCTCAGTTCGTCCTCGACCAGATCGCAAAGGCTGCCGAGGAGGACCGCAACCGCTCCGATTCCGATGAACGTTACAATTAGACAAATTACTTAAAAAAACTACTGTCTATTTATTGTATAATGTTATTAATAGACTATGTACATATTTAAACTTCTTTTTACTACCTCCTACCACGGTGCTGGGCATTTTTTCCATCCAAAATGCACTATTTTAACATCAAGAGTTATACGATGAATAATTGGCGGATTCACGGTTTGCTACTATGTACACATACACATTTATACATACAGTATACATATAACTATACCCTTCACTAAAAGGCTCAATACCGCAGTATCCAGTCATGATTTTTGGTCATACAGAAGTGGAATTAGAATATATTACTCTGAAAATACATTTTAATTCGTTTCATTACACAATACACAGTTGATTTAGCGCAGCTCACCCTGTGTACTTAAATCAAATATTAAAGGCCATGTGCTAACGAACATTTAAAAACGATTCAGCAAACACACTCCTTAATTGGCAGCATTACTTACACTGCAGTTTTTCTTCCTTTTTGTTTTGTAATGGAGAAGACTTTAGAAGAGAAACTTATTTTTCTCATATTCATATATTTTGCGGATGATAGTGATACGCAAATCATAATGAGGACGATAATAATAGTTATGATGGAAACAATAAAAATAATCATCTTAACAATAAAAAATAATGATTATGAAAATTATAGTAGAAGTAATAGTCTAGGTGATAACAGTAATAATATTGATAATGATAGCATTATACAGTATAAACTATATATCCAAACATTAACAAAAATGATATAGTTGTAAAGTAGACGTTTACAACATACCACTCCTGATTGGCTTGGCTAAAACACATTTAAGCTAATCCCCAATCATCTGGGTTACTACGCTTAGATCTCTGCGAAAAGGATTTTGGACATATTTTATGACTCAATAAATACACTAAGATTATGAATTGAAGGAGAGAGATATATAGAGAGAGATCTTCCTTGTCAAGATAATCTCATAGTCAGCGAGCCAAATGTGGCCTTCGGGATGGCTCTGAATGACCCATGTAGGAATATGAAAAATGATCTTCATGAAGGAAAGTAGTGCACGATTTTTAAAATATTGGAAAATAACCTTTATTTAATAATGGAAATTGTTGGTAGCAATGGCTATTATCATCAGGGGGAGAACCAGATAATAGTAATAAAATAAAAATGATTAAACAGTCTTAAAACCGAATACGAAGCCATATTTCAAGAACAAATACAAGAAAAATACGTAGTACAAGATGCAAGTTGTCTGTTAGTTTTATTTTGTTACCTATGTATATGCCATGGTAAAATATACCTCTAATTTTTGAAAACTAAAATGTAATTGTACAATCGACTGCATCAGACAATGACTCGTGCTTATACATATACACTGTGTCGCCATTCAAAATTAAGCATAAGAAACTAAGCAAAGGTACGGAATGTCATACATATTTTAATAATGTAATCCTGGTAAGCCAGGTATTCAACTTTGTGGCGCTCAAATTGGTAGCAGAAAGGTTCTCGAAGTGTTTTGAATTTGACACCGCTGATTTTGGCAATATCAGAACTAAATTCCCACGATAAAACCTGCTTAAAACTACCTTCACACACCATTAGGTGAATGTGGGGCAACATGCGGAGTGTAAAGTGTTAACGACAGTAATCGACCTAAATATTATTTTGAAGAATAAATGATAATGTTTAATAATAATAAAACCAGTGACAATGAAATTGGCATTACCGATACTACGATTATCACCGCTAATGATATAAATGATGATACCGATACCACGAATAATACTAAAACTAGTAGTGCCTCTTTATCTCAAGAAAAAATTACATCAACATATTTGCGTATCGGTTTCTTCTCACAAGAACATGTTTATTTTTCAATATTGATGATAACGCGTGACTTTCACTGTAATAAATAGTTTAAAAGGAGCATTGGAACAATAAATAATGCTATACATAAAATTCACAAGGAATGACACTCAGTAACGCAGGACTTGTGACATAAGTGACGATGAGCAAATTTGAAATACTCTAAATGTACGCTTTCATTTTCTTACATCAACAAGTAATATATTAATACATTAGAATTGCTTACACGGTCGCAATAGCCTTTGCTGTTCCTCAGTATGACTCCAGCGAAGAGTTCATGTCAATCCTGAGCGACAATCACGAAGACAGAACTTACAACTTCGACTTCTGACAGCTCTCCCTTTGTTGTCAAGTACGTGGCTGACAAGAACGGCTTCCTCATGTCGGTATCCCCTTAGTTTCTCCACCCAGTCCCTTGATTCGTGAAGATTTAATCACAATTTAATACTGACAATCCCTAAAACAATTATAATGATAATGACAACAAAGAAAGTATTCACGAGCATCATAATAAAGGAGATGATTATGATATTACATTGATTATAATACAATTTAAAATAAAAATATGATGTGTAATAATTATACGAATAATACTGACGATTATTATAATGATATTGATAATAATAAAGGCAAATATCATGCCTATAGTAAAAATGATAATAATGATGAATCAGTAATGATGATAATAATGATGTCGACGTTGATGATAATAAGACAACAACA